GATTTCACCAGCCTCCTGAAGGACAGGAGGGAGGGGGCAGATCTGATCTCAATCGGGAGAGAGTTCCATAGCCGAGGGGTCACCACAGAAAAGGCCCTGTCTCTCGTTCCCGCCAGACACAATTGCGAAAGTGGCAGAACCGAGAGCAGGGCACCCCCAGAAGATCTTAATTGATCTTAACAAGCCACGAGAGTCAAGATGAAGATCCACCCAGAGGAAAAGTGTTCCTGCCATACATCAAGGGAACCACTGACCGCATAGGGAAGCTGATGAGGAAACACAACATACAAACAATCTACAAACCCACCAAGAAAATCCAACAAATCCTACGTTCAGCAAAGGACAAGAGGGATCCTCTCACCTCTGCAGGAGTCTACCGTATACCATGCAGCTGTGGACAAGTCTACATAGGGACCACCAAACGCAGCATTGCCCAAACACGAATCAAGGAACATGAAAGGCACTGCAGGCTACTTCAACCAGAGAAGTCAGCCATAGCAGAGCACCTGATGAACCAGCCTGGACACAGCATATTATTTGAGAACACAGAAATGCTGGACCACACCAACAACCACAATGTCAGACTACACAGAGAAGCCATTGAAATCCACAAGCATGTGGACAATTTCAACAGAAAGGAAGAGACCATGAAAATGAACAAAATCTGGCTACCAGTATTAAAAAACTCTAAAATTACAACAGCAAAAACAGCAGAGAGGAAACAACCAGGCACATCTTAACACCTCTCAACAAAAGATTTTCCCAGGCTCAGCCAGGCCTTCAAATGCTAATGAAGGTGATCAGCTGAAACATTCACACCTAAGTGCAGCAGGGAAGAGCTCCTTGCCCCACCCCAGCCATTCCACAGATATATAAACCCATTGTCCTAATTCCAACAGACCTCACTACCTCTGAGGATGCTTGCCATAGATGCAGGCGAAACGTCAGGAGAAATGCCTCTAGAACATGGCCCTATAACCCGAAAAAACCCACAAGAACCTAGATCTTAATTGTCTTGGTGGTTCATAGGGGAGAATACAGGTAAACCGGGCCGGAACTGTATAGGGTTCATCTCGTTGTACAGTCAGTCAATCATATCCAAGGGATTCAAATCTGTGGATTCAAGCATCTAAGAAAAAAAAAAAACAACACAGAAGGAAATCTTGATTTTGCCATTTTATATAAAAGTGTCATTTTTACAACACCACTGTATATAATGAGACTTGAGCATCTATGGATTTTGGTATCCATGGCGGGTCTTGCAACCAAAGCCCAGGAGATACCAAGGGCTCATTTGCGTTGCCAATGTTTATGCATGATTTTGAAAGTTGGATAGTGAAAAAGAGTGATAGGAAGAGGATCAACCCCAACTGCAATGTAGTGCTGAAGCAGAATTCTCTGGATACTAAAAAGACAAAATAAATTGATCCCAGAGAAAACAAAGCCTGGACACACCTTAGAAATGGAGGCCCTTCTCACACAGCTGAATAAAATCCAACATTATCTTATCTGCTTTGAACTGGAAGATATTGCAGTGTGGACTCAGATATCTCAGTTCAAAGCAGATATTGTGGGATTTTCTGCCTTGATATTCTGGGATATAGGGCTGTGTGTAAGGGCCCTCAGATGACTAAAGTGGGGCTGTTTTGGTATTAGCATCTCATGAGACAATGTCATTCATCAGAAAAGAGGAAGATCACATGTGGATTATTTCAGTGAAAGAACCCATAGCCTAGAGTTTTCAAAATATAAGCAGAACTACTTTTTGTCTCCATACTTATTATTTTTTTTAAGAAAACTTGTAAGCATATAAAATCTGTAAACTGTTGTAGCCCAGCCAGGGCTGATGGGTTCACTGATTATTCAGAAGGGATTGTGGCATATCTTGGGGTTCAAAGTGATACAGATTCAAGCCTGGTTCGAAGTGTTGAAAATTCAGGCCAGAGAAATGAACCTGCCTCTGACCAAGGTCAGTCACAGGAGCCAGAAACAACATCATTAGATAAGGGGTCGTGTGAGGAAACAGAAAAGTCTCAAGGGAAAGCACCTGGTGTTATGGAAATAAGTAAAACTCTTTGTTTAAAGATTAGAGCAGATAATCAGCTCTGTAGGTCTGGGAGACTTTGTGAGAAAGAGATATAGAAAATTCATGGAAAACGTTATGATTTCATGACTGCTTATTAACAGGAAAGTGTTTACATTATAATTAATTCAGACAATGTTGGCTTTTGAGTGAGATGCAAGGCCTGAGTTCTTGCGTCATGTAAAGTCCTGGTTTTGAATTCAAGTATCCTGGAAGTTTCTTGTATTTTTGTTTTATGAATCTTGTTCAAGTTTTCTAAGTGTACCTTTTATTTTTGGATTTATGCTGTATTTGTGGGTTTTGGCTATTTCTGGACTGTATGACCTTTGAATTCTTATGAGACATTTGGATTCGTGTGTAGATATCACCTATTGTTAAACTCTTTTTTGGATTATCTCTCTCCTTTCTTATTTCCTACTTTTTTGTGTATTTTATGTGTTTTTACAATAAACTGTTTGTTTACACTCCGGACACTTGTGTGGTGCTGTGGTCATAGGTGGCTCCAGCTCTGGGGTGCAACATAAACACAGCCTTCCTGATAACACATAACTAAGCAGGTTACCACACAGGTATTTATCTCTACCATCTACAAACCCAAACATAAAAATAAGCATTCTTATAATATTACATTCCCCCACCCCCAATACAAAACAAAATATGTTATTCTGCTTGTATATGCAAAAGAAAAAAATCCCAACAAATACATCTCTAAACCTAACAATAATATATTTTCATCTCTTTCTTGTAAGAATCATCAAAAATGTTCCCAGTCGGTTGATGTATCCCTTAACAGAGTTGTTGATTTGTCCATCTTTACCTTCCAATCTTCTTCCACTGAGCAAAACAATTGATAACAGGGCGTTTTGGAGGTCTCTTGTTGAAGTAATTGATGGCACTGAACAATTACAACAGCAACAATGGGAAAAGGGAAAAGGAAGGGGAGAGAGGAAGAAGGGGAAGGAAGGGTTTGTTGTTGTTGTTGTTGTTGTTGTTGTTGTGTGTCTTCCTACTGTCTAACTTATGGTGACCTGAATGTGAACCTATCACAGGATTTTCTGGGATCGAGAGTGTGTCACTCGCTCGAAGTCATCTGGTAGGTTTTCAAGGCCAATGAGCATTCAACTCCTGGTCTCCAGAATCCAATGCTCAAACTACTACACCTTGTTGGCTTCTGAAGGAAGGGGTAACACATAGGATATGGGCATGGACTTGGCATGCTCAATGCTATAGGCTGACCACCAAGTCTGTTTCAGCAAACATTTTATTTACATGTGGAATGAAACAACCAGGTCAGATAAATCTTGCACAAGTAAAGAAAAAAGTTTTGAACCTCCTATTTATTTCCACTCAAGCATGGAAACCCACTGGGGAATTTTGTGTGAGTCAGTCTCTCAGCCTTGGAGAGCTCGGCTTAGAGACAAAACCCATTTAAAGAAACCTTGCCAAGAAAAACCCATGACAGGGTTGCCATTAGTCCTAAAGGACTTGAAGGCAGACAAGAAAGAAGAGGTTAAAAAGTCTGCTTTGGTCAGAACTCACCTAAGTTCAAGAAGATATAGACCAGTGATTCCCAACCTGTGGTCCATGGACCACCAGTGGTCTACAAGAACTAAAATATAGTCCATAGCCTCACTGTTACTACACCGTTGGTCTAGTAACTGGTCTCGCACAACCCTCTTATAGTGCCGAGGCTTATTAAATAGTTTTCCATGAGCGAGCAGATGGCGACTACTGGATGGCATATGTTTTGTATCAGAAGCTAGGGATGATGTGGTCTATCCAATGCAATTTCCAGAATCAGCACTTCAAATAACCGAACCAAATCTAAAGTTGACCAAAAACTGATTTGTAACCATTTTGGTACTAATGTTGGATAGTGGTCCCCGGTCAATGTGGTCCCTGGTAAAAAAAAAAAAGGTTGGGAACCCCTGGTATAGACAAACTGGGAAGTGTCCAGAGGAGAGTGACCAAAAATGATCACAGGTCTGGAAACCACAAATCGCTATGAGGAGCGATTTAAGGAGCTGTGGATATTTAGCCTGGAAAAAGTGATGAAGGGGCATGATAGCCATGTTTCAATATCTGAGAGGATGTCATACTGGGGAGAGACAGCGAGTTTGTTTGTTTTTTTGCTGTTTCAGAGACTAGGCCAATGGATTCAAACGGGAGGACAAGAGATCTCACTTAAACATTAGGAAGCATTCCTAATGGTAAGAGTTGTTCAAAGTGTAATAAGTGGCATTGGAGACTGAATGAGCATCTGTTGGTAGTACTTTGAGGGTGTTATACATGGAAGAATGAGGTTAGCATGTTGTTGTTCATTTGTTCAGTCGTCTCCGACTCTTCGTGACCTCATGGACCAGCCTACGCCAGAGTTCCCTGTCGGCCGTTACCACCCCCAGCTCCCTCAAGGTCAGTCCAGTCACTTCAAGGAGGGGTTAGCATAGGTGTGGGCAAACTTGGGTCTGCCTCAAGTCCCTTCCTTTCCCCCCTCAGTCACTTAAGTCTGCAGCTGTTAGGAATTGTGGGACTTGATGTCCAAAACATCTGGAGGGAGGGCCAAAGTTTGCCCATGCCTGGTCTAGGAGGATGCTCCAAATCCTAGACTTGGAAGGGATCTTAATTGCCATCCAGTCCATGCAGGAAGAAGGCGCAATCACGGACAAACCTAAGAAAACCCTAAATCTTGACCTAACTAGACTCAGTGAGCCATGGAGAGGGATCAAGAAAGAGTTAACAGGGCTTTCCCAAAGGAGGGGCTGCCCTTCTTCTCTCTCCTCCCCTTCCCTTCGTTTCTTTGGATGCCTCCTCCTCTCTTTGGCACTAAAAGAGAAGCCAGGAGGGTGGAAAAAGCTCTTGTCCGGAGAGGGAAAGAGGAGAGACAGAGAGGAAGGAAGAGGAAAGAAGGGAGGAAAGAAAAGAAAGAGAAAAGAAGAAATCAAATCTTCTCAGCCTCTCTGGCTTGACTTCGGTGCCAGAAGTGGGTAGAAGAGAGACAGTGTGTGTGTGAGAGAGAGAGAGAGAGAGAGGGAGGGAGGGAGAGAGGGAGAGAAAGAAGGAAGGAAGGGAGAGAAAGGAAGGGAGGAAAGAAAAGAGAAAGGAAGGAACCAAAGGTTTTCAGCCTCCCTGACTTGGCTTGAGTTCCAGAAGTGGGTGGAGGAGAGAGAGAGAGAGAGAGAGAGGAAGGAAGGGAGAGAAAGAAGGAAGGAAGAAAGGAAAGGGAGAGAGAGAGAGGAAGGAAGGGAGAGAAAGAAAGGAAAGAGAAAGGAAGAAACCAAAGCTTCTCAGCCTTCCTGGCTTGGCTTGGGTGCCAGAAGTGGGCAGAGGAGAGACAGAGTGAGAGAGAGGAAGAGTGGAAGGAAGGAAGAGAAAGTAAGGGAGGAAAGAAAAGAAAGGAAAGAGAAAGGAAGAAATCAAGGCTTCTCAACCTCTCTGGCTTGATTTCTCAGACTCTCTCGCTTGACTTGGGTAGAGGAGACACACACAGAGAGAAAAAAAAGTGTGTGTGTGTGTGTGAGAGAGAGAGAGAGAGAGAGAGAGAAGAAGGGAGAGAAAAGAAGGGAGAGAAAGAAAAAAAAGGAAAGAGAAAGGAAGAAACCAAAGCTTCTCAGCCTCTCTGGCTTGGCTTGGGTGCCAGAAGTGGGCTGAGGAGAGACAGAGAGAGAGAAAGAGAAAGAAAGAGTGAGAGAGAGGAAGGAAGGGAGGAAAGAAAGGAAAGGGAAAGGAAGACATCAAAGCTTCTCAGCCTCTCTGGCTTGACTTGGGAAGAGGAGAGACACAGAGAGGGGAAAAGTGTGTGTGTGTGAGAGAGAGAGAGGGAGGGAGGGAGAGAAAAGAAGAGAAAGAAAAAAAAAGGAAAGAGAAAGAAATCAAAGCTTCTCAGCCTCCCTGGCTTGACTTGGGTGCCAGAAGTGGGCTGAGGAGAGACAGAGAGAGAGTGAGAGAGAGGAACAGTGAAAGGAAGGAAGAGAAAGGAAGGGAGGAAAGAAAGGACAGAGAAAGAGAAAGGAAGAAATCAAAGCTTCTCAGCCTCCCTGGCTTGACTTGGGTGCCAGAAGTGGGCTGAGGAGAGACAGAGAGAGAAAAAGAAAGCGTGAGAGAGAGAAAGGAGGGAAGAGAAAAGAAAGAGAGATAGACGAGAGGGAAAGAAGGAAGGGAAGGGAGGAAAGAGATAGACGGGAAGGGAAGAAGGAAGGAAAGACTCTCTGCCCACTCATCCATCCTTTGGCTGACCCTCATTGATTCCTATTGGCTGGAAGGAAGGAAAGGAAGGAGGGAGGGAAGGAAGGAAGGAAGGAAAGATGCTGGTCTCGCTGGCTCGACGCCCTGCCTGTGGGCGTCCCTCCGGGACTGAAGAGTAAACCGAAGAAGGCAGCGTCGAAGAAGGAGGGCTGCTTGGGCAGCGGCGGAGGGTCCCCATGGCAGTGCAGGCGGCCCCCTTGGCCCCCCACGGGCACCCCTTCCTGCCCTTCGGCTTCTCGGTCCCTTTGGGGGACTTGGGGGAGCTGGAGAAGGGCTTCGAGGAGGGCGGCGCGGCGCTGCTGCTGGACGGCGGGGCGGGAGGCGGCGAGGCGGGCGACTTCAAGGAGCTGCTCAGCTTCATCGACTCGGCCTCCAGCAACATCAAGCTGGCCCTGGACAAGCCCGTCAAATCCAAGCGGAAAGTCAACCATCGCAAGTATTTGCAGAAGCAGATCAAGCGTTGCAATGGCATCATCGGCGCTGCTGCTGCTGCGACTCCGGAATCCTCTCCAAATCCTAGTTTTGCCAGCAGCCATCCGCACCAGCAACTTAACGCGCATAAAAGGACTAGCGCCTCTTTGTCGCCACCTAGCGGCGGAGGCACGCATTGCAAGCCACCTCAGCAGCCTCCCAATGCTCACAAAAGGACTCCTGCTTCTTTGTCGCCTTCCAGCGTTGGCACAGCGCATTGCAAGCAGCTGAAAAGGACTAGCGCCTCTCTGTCGCCGTCCAGTGGTGGGGCGGTGCATTGCAAGCCTCCGCAACCATCCAAACGAGATGCCGCCACCGCAACTCTGGTGCAGAGCCAAAGCTTGGCAGCGCTCTTCGACTCCTTGCAACCGCCCAACGTCGGACTCTCCTCGATCCAACCCGAAGGCGTCCTGCACGTCGGGGGAAAGAAAGTCCCTCTCCGGCACCGCAACCTCCCTCCTTCGTTCTTCACCGAGCCGAGTCACTCTGGGTTGAAAGAGCCCGGCCCTGAGGAGCTTTTCGACCTCCTGGAGTATGGCAGCCTCATTCCGGATCCGTCGGAGACGTCGGTTTTTGCCCCGAGCCGCCTCCAAACCTCGGAGATGGCGTTAGAAGGGCCCAGCTTGTACGAATCGCTGCCTTTGCCTGCCTTGCTCTACTCCACCGAGACACCCTTGCGCCCCTTACCGGCTCTTTACGGTACTGCTGCCCCTTCGGACTCGGCGTCGGGAGAGGTCACAGCGGCCGGGCCACATTTGCCGTCCGGTGCGGCTTTTGTTCCCTTCTTTCCCGATTGCCCCCCGCTGCCTGCTGCCTACCAGTATGCCCCATCGGGGTACAGCAGAAATGGGGCAGGGGCCTTGTTCCAGCCCTTAGTGTAGTGGCCATGACCTGCCTTGGACCGGACTTGCTTGGGTTGCATTTGATGATAATAGTAACAGCAACACTTTATTTATATTCTGCCCTATCTCCCCAAGGGGACTCAGGGCAGATCATAGAACATACACACGGAAAACTTTCAATGCCGTTTTGGACAGGCAAGACAGAGACAGACAGAACAGAAAGGAGGTATGTTGTGTTGACGTCCAGCTTTTTGGCATCTTGGAGGTTGTCCTCGAATCCAGCCACAAGGAGGTGCTGTTGCTCCATGCTCTATGATGAAGGGCCATCAGGACTTCCTCCTTCCTTTTGGTCGCCGGGCATTTTCGGATCTTTTTCTTTATGGTGTCGTAAAATACCTTCCCCACTTGTTTTAGCAGTACCTCATTTCTCTACTTACAGCTCAAGCTGTTTTCAAACTGCTTAGGTAAACAGTGAGCTGGGCTGATAGTTGGGCACTCATGCCAACCCGGGGCTTCGCACTGGCAACCTTTCGGCTGGTAGATCTTATAATTGCTGGTGATTTTAAAGACCAGCCCTCTGGTGGGGCTTTTGTGACCTTCTTTCCTGACTGCTCACCACCATGAACAGGGCAAGTGCCTTTTTCCAGCACATAGTTTAGCAACCATAAAGGAGGGGAAGAAGCTTATATACTGAAAAACAAGGCTTGCTGTGTGTTGGGGCCACGAATCCTGGGAAATGGGGATGCTTGGATTCTGAAAGACAAGAAATCTTGAGGTGTGTTGGGTCGGTTTTGCTTGTGTTGGGGAGATTTCTACCTTCCAAAGCAGAGTTTCTCAACCTGGGGTTGGGATCCCTGGGAGGACCGCAAGGGGGTGTCAGAGGGGTCGCCAAAGACTATCAGAAAACACAGTATTTTCTGTCGGTCACTTCTGTGTGGGAAGTTTGGACCAATTCTGTTGTTTGTGGTGTTCAGAATGCTCTTTGATTGTAGGTGAACTATAAATCCCAGCAATTACAACTCCCAAATGTCATGGTCTATTTCCCCCAAACTCCATTAGTGTTCACTTTGGGGCATATTGAGTATTCATGCTAAGTTTGGTCCAGATCCATTATTGTTTGACTCCACCATGCTCTCTGGATGTAGGTGAACTACAACTCCAAAACTCAAGGTCAATGACCAGCGAACCCTTCCAATATTTTCTGTTGGCCATGGGAGTTCTGTGTGCAAAATTTGGTTCCATCCCATCATTGGTTGAGTTCAGAATGCTCTTTGATTGTAGGTGAACTATAAATCTTAGCAACTACAATTCCCAAATGTCAAAGTCTATTTGCCTCAAACTCCACCAGTGTTCTCATTTGGGCATATTGAGTATTCGTGACAAGTTTGGTCCAGATCCATCATTGTTGGAGTCCACAGTGCTCTCTGGATGTGGGTGAACTACAACTCCAAAACTCAAGGTCAATGCCCTGCAAACCTTTCAATATTTTCTGTTGATGATGTGGGTTCTGTGTGCCAAGTTTGGTTCAATTCCATTGTTGGTGGGGTTCAGAATGCTCTTTGGTTGTCGGTGAACTATAAATCCCAGCAACTACAACTCTTAAATGACAACATTTGTGCCAAACTTGGTGCAGTGAATGAAAATACATCCTGCATATCAGATATTTACATTACAGTTCATAACAGTAGCAAAATTACAGTTATGAAGTAGCAACAAAAGTAATTTTATGGTTGAGGAATTGTATCAAGGGATCATGGAATTAGGAAGGTTGAGAATCACTGCTCCAAAGGACTGTGCTTGGGAATAATATAGATCAGGCATGGGCAAACTTTGGCCCTCCAGGTGTTTTGGACTTCAACTCTCACAATTCCTAACAGCCTACTGGCTGTTAGGAATTGTGGGAGTTGAAGTCCAAAACACCTGGAGGGCCAAAGTTTGCCCATGCCTGATATAGATGGTAAAATATTGATGCAGAGGTGGCCCTGGGAGTTGGGAGTTGGATCCGCTCCGAGTTGTAGTCTGAACATTAAAGTCTGAGCTGTATCGCTATTGCTCAAAGAGATCCAGCAGTTGGCATAACTGGCCTAAAGTTTGGGCTAAAACCCAGAAAAGACTCTAACCTCCAACCTATGTTGTAGTGGCAACTTTTGCTTGAGGGTAAAGCAAAACAACAACAACAACAACAGAGAGTCACCATTACTCTTTGTGAATGCATTGCTTGCAAAGAATCACATAAATTTCCTACCACTCCAAAATGAAATGCTTCTCCAGTCCCCAAACGTCGTATCTTTGCAGAAAGGTGCTGAAAATTATTCAAACTTGGAACTGATTTTGACATCTGAAATTTTAAGTGACTGCAATACAATTTGAGTGCTGGAGAAGAAATTTACTTTGGAGCAGGATTCTTAGGCTAATGGATTATGCATTGGGTTATGACTCTAGAGATCAGGGTCCAAATCCCTGCTTAGTTATGGAATCCATTGGGTGACTTTGGGCAAGTCACACTCTCTCAGCCTTGGGGAAAGGCAATGTCATGGGATGATATATTTATTATGCCTTGTGTGATTCCCTTCTAGTTCCTCCATTTTCTTTATCAGGCCCAATTTTCACCGGGATTCTTTCCTTTGATTGATTTATTGTTAAGCTCTTCTGTGTTTGTGAACCAACTTCCTTTCTGTTGCCGAATCACTGGGTTGCTGTGAGTTTTCCAGGCTGTATGGCCATGTTCCAGAGGTATTATCTCCTGACGTTTTGCCCACATCTATTGCAACTTCCTTTTTGAGAGAAGGTTTTCTCCCCAAAGTTAACCCCAGAAACCTGGAGGGTTTGTGGAACGAATAGAGGGTGCATCCACATTCAAATTAATGCAGTTTAGCACCACTTTATCTGCCATGGCTCAATGCTATGGGATCCTGGGAATTTGTGGTTCTGCTAGGTCTTTAGCCTGTCAAAAAGTGTGGTGCCCTAGCAAACTACAGCCCCCAGGATCCCATAGCATTGAGCCATGACAGTTCAAGTGGTGTCAATCTGCATTAATCATTCAATGTAGACCAGTGTTTCTCAACCTGAAGGTCGGGACCCCTGGGGGGGGGGTACAAGGGGTGTCAGAGGGGTCACCAAAGACCATCAGAAAACACAGTATTTTCTGTTGGTCATGGAGGTTCTGTGTGGGAAGTTTGGCCCAATTCTATCATTGGTGGGGTTCAGAATGCTCTTTGATTGTAGGTGAACTATAAATCCCAGCAACTACAACTCCCAAATGTCAAAGACTATTTTTCCCAACCTCCACCAGTTTGGAGGGAAATATCCCCAAACTTCACATTTAGGCATATTGAGTATTTGTGCCAAGTTTGGTCCAGATCCGTCACTGTTTGAGTCCACAGTGCTCTCTGGATGTATTTGAATTACAACTCCCAAACTCAAGGTCAATGCCCACCAAATCCTCACCAAACCCTTCCAGTATTTTCTATTGGTCATGGGAGATCTTTTGTGCCAAGTTTGGGTCAATTTCATCATTGGTCGAGTTCAGAGTTCTATTTGATTGTAGGTGAACTATAAATCCCAGCAACTACAACTCCCAAATGACAAAATAAATCCCCTCCAACTCTACCAGTATTCAAATTTGGACGTATCAGATATTTGTGCCAAATTTGTGCCAATGAATGAAAATACATCTTGCAGATGAGGTATTTACATAACAATTCAGAACAGTAGCAAAATTACAGTGATGAAGTAGCAACAAAAATAATGTTATAGTTGGGGGTCACCACAACATGAGGAACTATATTAAGGGGTCGCGGCATTAGGAAGGTTGAGTACCTCAGTTCCATCCCTGACCTTTTTAGCTAGGGCTTCAAGTAGATCAATGGTCTAGTTTTGAATCAAGCAGCCCAGTGTTTAAAAAGTCACCCTTTAAGACTCTACCATGGAGATTTAGAGTATTCAATTCTTCCAAATATCTAACTTTTGAAGAAACTTGCAGTGTCAGACATTAATATAATACAGGAGATTCTCAGTTAACCGGCACCCGTGGGAATTGGGTAGATGCCAGATAAATGTAGTTTCTAATTGCTTGAGAGTTTAAAAAGAAGTCTAATACTAAAGCTCATAATATATCATACTATAAACTCTGTATTGTATTGTCGAAGGCTTTAATGGCTGGAATCACTCAGTTCTTGTGGGTTTTTTCGGGCTATATGGCCATGTTCTAGAAGCATTTCTCCTGACGTTTCGCCTGCACCTATGAAAGATCCACACCCAGCCCAACTTACAAAAGCCTTTTGTCTCACTCTGGTCATTCCACAGATATATAAACCCCCTTTTTTCCCAGCTCCAGCAGACCTCACCTCTGAGGAAGCTTGCCATAGATGCAGGCGAAACGTCAGGAGAAATGCTTCTAGAACATGGCCATATAGCCCGAAAAAACCCACAAGAACTGAACTCTGTATTGACTTGATATTAATATCGAAACATAGCAAATCAAAGCAAATTGAATTTTGGAAAGACAAACTTAACTTATTGTAATTTTGTTTTACTGTATTATCAAAACAGCTCTTTTAAAAATTGTAAGTATTATTTCTTTGATTTTTTGACCAGTTGCTTGAGAGTTTCAGTTAACTGAGAGTCTACTGTATTTCTCTTTCTGTCGGCACGTAGAGAAAAAGGTTATGTTCATATATACCTTTGCATGTGAAAGCCGCTGATGGTCTTGTGACATGTATATAGGATGCTTCTGAGGCCAGCCTGCATTGGGACAGTGAATCCATTCTTGGTTTGAGCCTAAATTGAAATTCAAGTGTGCATCTACACCAGGGGTCCTCAAACGAAGGCCCGGGGGCCGGATATGGCCCTTCAAGATCATCTACCCGGCCCTCGCTTAGGGTCAACCTAAGTCTGAAATGACTTGAAAGCACACAACAATAACAACAACCCTATCTCACCAGCCAAAAGCAGGCCCACACTTCCCATTGAAATACTAATATGTTTATATTTGTTAAAATTGTTCTTCATTTTAATTATTGTATTGTTTTAAGTGTTTTTTTGCAATACAAATAATATATGTGCAGTGTGCATAGGAATTCATTCATTTTTTTTATTATAATCCGGCCCTCCAAAAGTTTGAGGGACTGTGACCTGGCCCTCTGTTTAAAAAGTTTGAGGACCCCTGATCTACACCATGCATGGCCAAACTTGGCCCCTCCAACTGTTTTGGACTTCAACTCCCACAATTCCTAGCAGCCTACCGCCTGTTGGAAATTGTGGAAGTTGAAGTCCAAAACACCTGGAGGGCCAAAGGTTGCCCATGCCTTATCTAAGGTAAATGTAAAGGTTTCCCTTTGACATTAAGTCTAGTCATTTCTGACTCTGGTGGCTGGTGCACATCTCCATTTCTTAGCCGAAAAGCTGGCATTGTCTATAGACACCTACTAGATCAAGTGGTTTGCAAGACTGCATAATAATAATAATAATAATAATAATAATAATAATAATAATAATAAAAAACTTTATTTATACCCCGCCACCATTTCCCCCAACGGGGACTCGGGGCGGCTTACATAGGGCCAAGCCCAAACAACAAATTACAATAAAATAAATGACATATACAGATAAACAATATACACAAAACATAAAAAAGCAGTAAACCAAACATAGTGACAGTGAGCAGGCCACATGAACATAAAATGAATTAAAACTCAGGGTGAGATAAAAGAGCAGAATCATTTGTGAGGGAGAAATTGCAGAGTGACAGGGTAGTAGACAGACCTTCATGAAGTGTCGTTACCTTAAGTAGCTGGGCTGTTAGAGATATGTGCTCGAATCTCCTAAGGATTTTTTTGTTTTCATGGGATTGGAGCTGAGTGGTGTAATTCAGGGTGCATCTACACTGTAGAATGAATGCAGTTCGACACCCACCCACTTTGACTGCCATGGCTCAGTGCTATGGAATTCATGGGAGTTGTAGTTTTACAAGGTCTTCAGTCTTCTGTGCCAAGAGGGCTGGTGCCTCACCACACTACAAATTTTAGGACTCCATACCGTTTAAACCATAGCAGCCACAGTGGTGTCAAGTCTACACTGTAGTTGCACTGTTCAGAGCACTCATGGGCAAACTTCGGCCCTCCATGTGTTTTGGATTTCAACTCCCACAATTCCTAACAGCCTACCAGCTGT